ATCAAGAGAAATCTCAGTCGCTACATAGGGCGAGATTAAGGTAGATTAGTTTCACAAAATCCATGCTTTTCACTTTTTTCTCGCATTTTCTCGGCAACCAAACACAGGATGGAAAACCCAAAAGAAGAAGAAGAAGAAAAAGGAGAAGAACATGGGCAGCTGGTATACATCTCTCCGCCGTGTCCTCTTGGCTTCCGGTTCTCGCCGACGAGGAACTTCGAGACGACGGGAGTTCTTACCGTTTTGGTATCCTTTTACTAACAAAAAATTACGAATTATTTACAAAACAAATATGTTTTCATTTGTTTTAACTTAAAATCAAATGAAAACCTCATAAAAATTAAAAATAAAAAAGAAAATTTCATTTTTTTTCAAAGTTTTTTTTTTTGGTTTAATGTGATTGTGTATATATTTTTTTTTTTTTCAAAGTTATCATAGGCATAGGCATGTAGGCAGAACGACATCGTTAATTTGTGTTTCCTTTACTGAAAATTTTAACAAGTGTGAGACCCACGATTTTTGGCAATTTCTTCCTGAACTTGTCTATATAAGGAGTACGTATGAGGATCAGTTTTATCATCCGAAGCAGGAAAAAAAAATAGAGTAAAAAAAATCCAAGTCTCTTATATTTTTTATATTTTTTATTTTTGATAATTTATTTTCTTCATTGTTAGATAGAATTATTATTATATTATATTCTCTTTATAAAAGAGAGATTATTATAATTTATTAATCGTTAGTATAAAGCTTTCTACTGTTTATCCGTGGACGTAGACACTCCGTCAAACCATGTAAATTCTTAGTGCCTAGTATTTATTTTTCTTATCTCAATTTGGTTGTTAAATAGTCATTTATCTACGTCCGATCCTAACAAAAAATATATTACACAAAAATAAAAATACGTAAATATTATAGTCGAGTTTAAACATATAAAATTTTTCCAAACTTTCAATTAAATAGACGAATTTTTAAATTATTTCTAAATTGTTACATAATCATTAACACTATTAATAAACTAATCCCAAAATTTTCCTTTTATAAATCTTTATGATTGAAACAAATTTCAAATTAGTTTAGTTTTTTCTTCAATAAATCAAAGTTTATTAGGATTGGTGTTATAAAACATTCGAATTTGATATGCAAAGAGAGAGTGGACGAGGGAAAATGGGATTTCTAATGTAATAATGCAAAACGTATGGGACATATTATATTTTGAGTTTGAGAAAAATAAAATAAAACAACAACAGATTAAAATGATATTAATAATACGTTCATAAAAATGGTCATTCTAAGCCATGTTTATGTTTTTAATTTTACATAAATTAAGGATAAAAATGTAATTAAGTTTAATTAAAAAATTTATCTAAACGTTAGACTCGTCCTAATTTAATATTACTATTTCCAAAAAATATACAATATCTTTAAATGATGATTTTGCTCAACAAATTTCGGGTTATTTCTCTTTGAGAATTTCTTCTTCTTAACCAGAAAACAAATTCATCAAAATACCAAGTCAAAGACATATGCATGATTTCTCTCCAAAAATATATAGATCGGTTTTGATTTGCCTATTTTTAAAATTTAAAAAGTGGAACATTTTTTAGCTTAATTTGGATACAATTTTTATTAATTTACTTTTATAAAAACTATATTATATCAATTTTAAAATTGCATTCGACTCGGTAATATACCCAAATCAACCTTGAAAATGAATTCAGTCACAGTTATCTTAAAATCAAAAAATATATGTAAATAAAGAGACCACTGACTGTAGTTCTTCTTCCTTACATCTGTCTCTACTTCAAACTCAGAAACTTGTCTAAGTCTCACTCCTTTTAAATCCAAAACCTGAGAGCATCAGAAACAGAAAGAGAAACCCCAGCATTCTAATTTTCTTCCACAAAAGACCGTACATTGCTATCTTCGCCGAAACCCCCCAGAAACAGAAACACAGAAAAACTCTGTTTCTCTCGCGCTCCCTTTGAACATCAATCCGAAAATTCACAAACGGGTGCATCGAAGATCGTTCTCGTTTGGGTTTTCGCATCGATTTCCATGTTTTCTTATGTTTCATGCTCTGAATTTGTAGTTGGAGGAGAAGATGGTTGGGTTGTACCAACGTCTACCATTGACTTTTATAATTGATGGGGCTTCCATGAACCATTTCAAAGTTTTTTTGATGTAAGAACCATTTCAAAGTTTTTTTTTTGTTGAATAACCATTTCAAAGTTGACGACACTATTGGTAAACAAAAAATAATAGTGTCATGTAGTCTGATTATTCTGTGTCGGGATTTGATGAAGGTTTCAAGTATAAGAAAGATTCAGTGTTGGTGGTGATAGAAGAAGAGTACAAGAGATGTCGGTCCTCTAAATCGGAGTTCTTCTCCAACAAATGCAACACGGTTTCAAAATAAACGGCCCGGTTTATTCTACTTCATCAGTGGTGTAACCGGCAAGGGTAGATATTTCGGGTTTCGGTTTGGTTATTTCGGTTATAAAAAATCATACCCAAACGGTTATATAGATTTAATCCGTTCGATTCGATTCGGTTCGGTATTTGCATAATAAAATGATAACCAAACGGTTAAATTTTTTGGTTTATTCAGTTTGGTTTTAGATCGGTTCGGTTCGGTTATGACATATTTAAAAAAAATATTAATCATGTACAAACTTCAAAATATCTATCCAAATAAATCAACAAAATGATTGATCCTCCAAAAAAGTTACAAAAAAATCTACAAAAACTTCAATAAGTAGGATAAAAGTTAAAAACATTAAATTTTATAGTTTATTGGATAAAACACATAAGGTAAAAGTGAACTATAAAAAAATAATATATTAATAATAATGAGGATAAAAATTAAAATATTAAAAAAATCTTAATAACTATTCGGTTAACTGCGGTTATTCGGTTATTATCCGAACCAAACCGAACCCGAATGGTTATTCAACTTCCTCAACCGTTTGGTTATTAAGCAAATATCCGAACCGAACCGAACTGTTCTTATTCAGTTCGGTTCGATTATTCGGTTATAGTTAATAACCGAAACAACCACTCCTATTAAACCGACCACGGCCAGAAGGGCCAGAAAATCATCATCAAAGTCTTGGATATTGAATCTCCTCCTCCTTCTACCATGACTCCTGCTTCAACAAAGAGCATCGCCATTAGGGGTGTCAAAAAAGCCTGCGGCCTGATACCCGACCCGAACCCGTTCATAAAATTTACAGACTTAGATTTCACAAATCAAAACCCGTTCGTTTTTCGGGTCGGGACGGTCCGGTCCGAAAAATTGCGGGCCAAAAAGGGTTCGGATCTGGTTGGCCCGGTCCGTAGGCCTGATTAAAATATAAATTGTATATATAAATATATATGTATATAGGTAAATATATATATACATATATATATATATTCGCTCATATTTTTTTTGAGAACTATATTCGCTCATATTTAATCATATATATATATATACATTTATTCAATCTTTTATATATATATATAATATGTATTAAAAAAATATACAAATATTATATAATATAAAAAATTCTAAAAAAACTAAAAACTTATTTAATATTAAATGATTCAGGATATAATATTTTCATAAATGATATAATCAAAATTAAAATACTATTAGTTTCAAATATAATAATTTATCATTTTTAAAAATTTATTACCATATAAAATTAAAAAAATTTAAATTTAAATTTATATTAGATCAAAATACATAACTTTGTAATCTATTTTTTTTATCTTTTTATTATCACGAAATGTATTAAAAAATTTTCTATTTTAATTATTTTAATTTGTTTATATTTTTAAAAAAAAATCAAGCCCGAAACCCGGCCCGAACCCGAAAAAAGCCCATAGGGCCGGGTTGCGGGCCGAAGATTTTTGGCCTGTTGGTTTTTCGGGCCGGGCCGGCCCGACCCGGTTATTTTGACACCCCTATATTTTTAGTTTCAAATATAATAATTTATCATTTTTAAAAATTTATTACCATATAAAATTAAAAAATTGAAATTTTAATTTATATTAAATCAAAATATATAACTTTGTTATCTATTTTTTGTCTTTTTAAGAAACATATTAATTTTTTTGTATTTTAATTATTTTAATTTATTTATTATTTTTTTGTATTTTATTTTTAAAATTTTCAAGCCCAAAGCCCGGTCCGAATCCAAAAAAAATCCAAGGGTCGGGCTTTGGGCCAAAGATCTTAGGCCCATTGGTTTTTAAGGCCGGGCCGGCCCGACTTGTAAATATTCGGGCTTGTGTCGGGCTCGGGTCGGTCCGGTCCGTTCATTTTGACACCCCTAATCGGCACCAAATGTGCTATGTCCGATTATACCGATTTAGTTGCTATTTCAATCCTGGTTATATCTGTTTTCGGTCTCGTTTAATACAGGCCCATTATGTAGGTGGTTACTGTTGGTTTAGCTTTCGGTTTCTACATTGTATTGGTTTCTTGTTTAGGGTTGATTTGTTTTTCCTTTTTAGTTTACATCAGTAAATATCTTTGAATAATTTTACTAACCAATTTTTCTTGTAGGGTTTTCGCACCAACGTGTGGTTAAGGATTTTTTTTTATGTTTTTTAAAAGGACAGAAAAATTCATATGAAAATATCTCTCCAAATACTAGAACCTGAATTGAGAAAGAATTTTACTCCATTCCTTATCGAACCTGAATTGAGAAAGAATTTTACTCCATTCCATTCCTTATTCATTGAGTAACTCAATTTTCGATTCTGGTTAAGAGTATTAATTTCATAATAATTATATTTTTCCTGCTTGTTTAGATTGCTACACGGTTCTTAAAACTCGGTATAACCATATGAACCAAATTAAGGCATCCTACCAATCTGAACGAGTAGAATCATCGGTGATTGTCTAAAAACGTGGAATTCTATCTGAACATATTACTTTGGCCTCATTAAGGCAGGATTTAATGACACTATCATGGTTTCATAAGTTTAAAGAGAACCGGTTAAATACTCTCTAGACACTGAATGAACCGGTTAAATATATAATAAAAAAAAACAACCCAAAATTGTAACGGTACATGGTTTATATCCTAAAAGGAACAATTGAAAGCTCAAAACATAAAAATAAAACGTACTGAATATTCATCAAAAGCTCCTTACCACACAAGCACAAAATTCTAAAATGATAGAATATTATTGTTATAAGAGCCTCCTCTCCTGCTGCTCAGTAGTCATCGAAAGTAGTCTTCTTTCCTGCAAAAACCCAAATCCAACATTAAAACCGAATGGATTTTTAAATTTTCTAAAACCAAAACATCAAATCCAAAACAAAAACAAACATAAATAATAAAACAATAATTTTTAACAACAAAACCCAAACCCAAAACAAACTAATATAGAAACTGAAACAGTTGTAGTTTTCCCAAAACTAAACAACCCAAATCTGAATATAACCGAGCCAAACCCAAACAAAATCAATCCAAATCTAAAATATAAAAACCGACCTGTTGTAGTTTCTCCAAAAACTGAAAATTCCAAACCCGAATATAACCAAACCGATGCAGGAAATGACCACCATTAGCTAAAAACAGTCATTCCAAAACCTAAGAGTAGAGTAACAAAGAGGACAAACCTTGAGCAGAGGCAGTGAAACTAGGCCTGTAGGGAGTTCCACGTCCTCCTCCGCGGCCACCTCCACGTCCTCCTCTACCTCTACCACCGCCAAATCTGCCTCCTGCATCCCTTCCACCACCGCTTCTTCCACCTCTTCCACCACTGAAACGACCGCCTCTTCCTCCGCTTCTTCCACCGAAACCACCGCCAGAAGAACCGCCATCTCGAGGTCTGGCCTCATCCACCGTCAAGTTGTATCCTCCCATTTCACTCCCATTGAGCTCCAACGCCTTGTTCATTGTCTCACTGTCTTTTACATCCATGTATGCAAACCTGCTCACAAAAAAAAAAGTGCTTTGGTGGTGAGTAGTCTAAAATAACAAAAGCAAAAAATGGCGGATTTAGTATAGAACCCGAGATAACGATGAAAAAGATTCATAACCCTTTAATGTTGCCAGTCTCACGGTCGGTCGGGACGGAAATCCTAGTAATCTCTCCACATGAACCGAAATGCTCTTTCAAGGCACTCCTAATCTGTGCATTTTACAACCATAAAAATGTTATTTTTACGAAGAAAGAATGACGCAATCGAAAAGAGATACTCTGTGCAAGGGAAATATGATTTACATCGTCTTCAGTGAGGGAATAGTCAAATCCCTTAATGAAAACTGTAGAGCCCTGACCTCTACCCCCGCTCTGGAAGTTGTTCGACTTACTGCAAGTAGTTTTCGAGACAAAAATTTAAAACAGAATACAAAAAACAACTTCCACATCAAAATGGTTTATGACAGAAGAAAGAAATACCCGCTCTGAGGTGTATATGATGAATCCCTCTCCCGAGCAAGATCAAGTCGGACCTCACGACCCAACAAATCTTGACCATTCAATTGAAGAGCCTACAGAGAAACATGAATACACTTAAAAAAGTCATTTGGATAAAAGCAGAAACAATCTAAGTGATGAACCGAGAATAAATAAGAAGTCATCTGGATAAACATTACATAAAATAAAACTTGTAAAAGTTCTCACCTTTTGAGCAGCTTCTGCAGAAGCAAACTCAACGTGACCAAAGCCCTTAAATCGACCATCCTCATCTGAAGCAAATCGAATATCGACAACTTCACCAGCATCTTTGAAGAAATTCTCTCTGCAAAAAGGAGAGGAGAAAGAACACAACATCAGATTCTGATAACTTTTTTCCTGAAAACCCAAGGGGAGAAACAGTGTACGTACACATCTGCTTTTTCAACTTGGTAAGAAAGATTGCCAACAAATAGTGTCTTTGATCCTCCTTGTGTCTTAGGAGTAATAGGTGTCTTCACATTTGATTTTTGTTCGGCATCAGCCATTTCGACATCAGAGTTCTGTTTTACGTAAAACAGGGTAGAGAATATATCAACATGAACCCGATGAAAATCATATGCGCCAAGATAAGGGTAAATACAAATGGAAAATAGCATTATTCCAACTACGAATTTTGGTAACCTTTTTCTTTGGGGTTGCTTTCTCATCTCCACTCTCCTCATCATCAGAGGATTCTTCACTAGATTCATCGCTACTGATTTCCTTCTTAGCAGAGGCAACTTTCTCAACTTTAGCCTGCATAATTATGTTCAGAGCCAACATACATTATAAATTGTCACAGTAACATTAATATGGCATGTGGAGTGGAAGCCTCACCTTCTTCTGAGGAGTTTCATCATCATCACTTTCCTGCAAGTATCAATGATGAACATAATTAACATAAGATGACAAAATAGGAAACCGAGGATTATCAGTTCAAACAATAGCACCGAGGGTTAAGTTAAAATCAAATTATGTTTATTAGAAGTTACAAAAAGTATTATGGGACTTGAGCTGAAGAACTAAAAACAGAGAAGAATCTAACATCATCGGAATCCTCATCTGAAGAGTCAGAACTGCTGGCGGGTTTGGTTTTTTTCACCACTGCAGTCTGTTTTTTAGGGGCAGGTTCCTGTATTTAAAACATTCCACAATGAAATCAGATCTAGGTATCCTCAGCAACTGGGATATATAAACAAATTCTCACCTCATCAGAAGACTCATCATCAGAGGAATCATCACTACTAGATTCCTGAGGTTTCTTGGCAGAGGCAGCAGCTGGCTTCTGAGTTAAAACAAAGGAGCAAGAAGTATACACAATTCAATGATTGCATAAGTCGAAAACACTTCAAAAGTTAGGATCTACGAGGAATAAGTTTCTAACCTTTTCATCTTCATCATCCTCAGATTCATCATCAGAGGATGAAGAATCATCAGCAGCAGGCTTCGCATTCTTAGTGGCAGCTGGTTGCTTCTTCACAGGGGCAGGTTCCTAAAGTGTTATAACAAAAGCAGGGAATGATAAACATATGCCAATGGCTCTTACAAGACAGACATTCTTCTGATCAACATAATTCAGTGTTTACCTCATCGGAAGAAGATTCATCCTCAGATGAACTGTTTGATTTTTTGTCCTTCACAGAGCCATTCTTAGCAGCAGCAGGCTTCTTGGCTGAAGCAGGTTCCTGAATTAAATTTGAAAACCAAGCTTGTTTAATGTGTATCACACAATGAAAGGCCTGACTTAGCATTATACCACCAAACCCACCTCGTCCGAAGATGAATCATCTGAAGAATCATCTTCTGAAGATGAATCATCTTTACTGGATGGTTTCGCTGGCTTTGCAGCATTTCCATTAGCGGCAGCGACTGGTTTTTTCTTGGGGGCAGGTTCCTTTAGAGGAGTAAACCAAAATTAATACACGATTTCGGTAATTCTCAGCAATACATGAGTGAAAAAAATTTACATTATCCGAAGAGGAGTCATCAGAAGAGGACTCATCACTGCTGGAGTCCTTAGCAGGAGCCTTCTTGACCGCCACTTTCTTAGCCTGAAAACATTTCAATAAAACATAATAAGAATTAACCATTTCCTACTAAGCCATGCAGCTAATAAAAAATTATCAAACTTGCAAATGAAAGGACTGTAAATGACAATAAGAATGAATAATACGTGAAAGGGCAATACACCTTTTGCTCTTCTTCAGAATCAGAAGAATCAGATGAGTCAGAACTGCTGCTTTCCACTTTCTTCGGCACCTTCTTCTCAGCCTTCTCCTTGACAACAGCAGCATTCACATCTTTCTTCTGCTTCTTCAGATTTACTTGCGCCTCCAAATCATCTTCTGCCTCTCTCTTACCTAAATACGGAATCAAACCCAAAAAAGAGAAATTTAGCTGATAATGTTAATGATCAATTTCAGAACAAGGTCACAAAAATCAACCACCGAAACGCAGACTCCCCAGAAACACACAAAAATCAATATGAACAAGAGAGCTTAAAAATTTACGGGATAACAACATATGAAATCATATTTCTTCAACAGAGGAGGTAGGAATAATGAGACAAAATAATACGTTTATACAAGAAGAGCCAAACCTCTCGGAAACAATTACTAGAAAATGAAAGCAGTAAAAATAACACCATATCAAATCGAATCAGGCGCCAAAACACACTAATCCGTACCTTTCTTCAAAGGCTTTGAAGGGATAATTGCAGCTTCGACCTGAGAGTCGGAATAAAAAATAGAGGATTAGTTGTACCAAAAATATTTTCCCGCGAAAACGAGGACGAAATACAAAAAAGAAGAAGAAGAAGAAGAAACCTTGGTGGCGGATTTCTTGCTAGACTTGCCCATGGAGACAGAGAGAGAGAGACTGCTAGGTTTTTCGAGAGATATGGGGGAGGAAAACCCTAACAGCTGGAGAGGCTTCGAAATTAGGGTTTTAGGAAGAGACTTATAGGGGGGATGATGTGTGGGTATAAAGGTCTTTTTATTTTTTAATTATTCCATTTTTATTCTTGGGATGTACGGCTGCAACTTGCTCGTATATTTGATCTAAGCCGTCCACTTGGCGATGAAACATTTCTTTTTTTTTTTGTAATAATCTAATAATAAAATTTACCAAATATTGTGGTAAAATTTGGTTTTTTAATGATTGAATTAAGTTTGAAGAAAATTAAAGGGAAAAGCTTCAAATAATAGTGATCAAAATAATGAGAGAGAAAAAAGACACGATCATGATTTGGTTAATAAAGCATAGGAATTATGATAAATTGGAATGAAAATGATTGAATTTAGATTATTCAATTTTAAAGTCGATTGCGTTTGATTCGAATTCTATTGATTTTTATTTTTATTAAAAAAATATGTTCTAAATATTTTTATATTTCAATGATGAACTATTTTAAATTGGAATGGAGTTCCATTAATTTAATTAAACAAATTATATCTAGTTTTTAATTTGGGTATTCTAACCAAAATACACTCTCCTACTAAATATTACAAAGCGTTGTGAATTCCCAAAATATATATACGACCAATAAATCGATCTAATATTGCAACCCTGTATAAAATTAAGGGAAAATTTGCATAAATATATATAAAAAAATATCTTTCCATTCTATACTTTTACTATTGTAATCTTTGTATTCTATACTTTAATAGTTAACATGACCATCATACCTTTCTATATTATAGATTTTCTTCATTTATAAAAAAAAAATACTTGTATGAATTTCATTTTCCTCCACATACATGAAAAAACACTTATGTGGATTTTGTTTTCTTATATAAGTATGAAAAACATTTGCATGGGTTTCGTAAAAAAGAACTCTTGCACGTCAACGGGTCATCAGGGCATCAAGTCAGTAGGTCACCTGCTGTATGTCGCAGGTGACCTACCGCATGTCGCAAGTCACATGTGACATGTCACACATCACTTGCCGCATGTCGCAAGTGACCTGCCGTAGACTGCAAGTCACATTCTGTTTCAGGAATTTCATCAAACACCTTGTATGCAGAAAAAAAAATGATCATATGAATACCACAGAAAAATAAAAAGAATATTTGATTAGATGGATAAACTGTAAGAAATAGAGAAAATATTAGATAAAACAGAAGGACAAATCTCAAAACGCACTGATTTCTAAAAGACAGATTATCACATAATCGCAAAGAGATATAGACGAAAAGATTTGGTCCAACTAGCAAAAGGATCGAGAGAATAGGTAAATGGACATGGTCGTTGTTAACGTTAATTATCTAATCGCATTTGTATTATGTTCAACGGTCGTAGTTATCGTTAATTATCTATTCGTATTTGCATTATCACTAAAAAAAACCCCAAATTCCAACCGGAAAATCCGTTAGAAATGGCCGAAAATCCGTTGGAATTCGACTTTTCCAACGGATTTCAGTCGTTAGAAACGCAGATCCGTTGGAATTCCGTGGCAAATTCCAAACGGAATTCCAACGCCTTCATCCGTTGGAATATTTCAACGGATTTCCAACGGTTCTTCCGTGGTATATTTTCAACGGAATTCCAACGGATTTGTTCGTCGGGATATATCAACGGAAATTCCAACGGACATCCGTGGCTACTTTCCGACGGGACCGTTAGAATATCCGTTAGAAATATTCCAACGGATTTACAACGGTATTTGCCACGGATATCCGTTGGAATTTCCGTTGGAAACGCCGTCGAAATGTTACAACGGTATTTATAACGGCCGTCCGTTGGAATTCAAAATTCTTTCTAACGGCGATCCGTTGGAATAACCGTTGGAAAACACAAAAAAATAAATAAAAAAATAAAATAATTTAAAAATAAAATAAATATTTTATTTATTTTATTTTTAAATATTTATTTTATTTTTTATTTATATTTATATATATTATATATTAATAAATATATATATATATATATATATAATAAAACCAAAATAAAATTAAAATATTAAAAAAACAATTGTTCGAATATTACAAAAATATAAAATATTTTCACTAATAATAATTAATTGGCATTACGGGTTTCTTCGTCTTCGCTAGTCCCGAGATTACGTGCCGTTGTTTCTGCTCCCGAGCTTGGCGGCGTATTGTGGAGTGGTCGATCACCCCGCATAAGCTCAACGATTTGTTCGAGGTTAGTCACTTGTTGCCTCGTCGCCGCAAGTTGTTGCTCGAGTGTCTCGATCCGTCGTTGTTGTTCGAGATCGCTCTGCATGCCAGGAGGAATTGCTGCACCGAAATCATCGAACAAATCTCGCTGCAATCCTCCTAATCCATAGATGCGGCCCTTATTTGGAGAGACCGACTGAAAAATAAAAAAAATATTTAAAATTGAAATAAAATATTAAAATATAATATTTAAAAATGAATTATTTTAAGTTTTACCTCCACATAGCAACGATCTTGGTTCGATGCAGAGAGACCGGATGAAGAACTCGCTGAATCGCCAACATTTTGCGAGAGTTGGGTGAGTCGTTGAGTTACCGTGCTTACAACTCGTTCTGCACGGGGATCGACATATGTCTCATCAGACTTTTTGTGTGTCCGAGCGACCAACTCTACGATTGATGGCATTCTCCCCATTTCTTTCTCCTATATATATATATTATTAACATAATAAAAAATCTACAATTAAAAAACTAATTAAAAATTAAATTAAAGTTTAAATAAATACCATCTCTTTTTGCCTCTTCTTGAATGATTTAGCACCGGAGGTATGACGATGAGGCCCATAACCCTCGATTTTTTGAGACAGACGACTTTGTTTCGCCTTGGAACTCTTGTTCTTGAAATGGTCTGAGTTCCAATGCGTAAGAAGCTGCTGGTACAAGTCATTTGTTGCCCACTCCGGTGGCAGTCCATGCAGCTGATGACGACGTTTGGCATTGTTCATCATTTGTTTCAACCGCTGCATACCCAGCTGGTTGAACTCTTTGTAAACTTTATCGGTGTACTTTTTTTTCCACCGAAAAGATTGCTTTAAAAAAAATT